GTGACTTATTATGGAAATAAAAAACAACAAGGTAAGGGAAATTACTGCCTTAAGTAAAACATGTTCACTCAGTACCACTGCTTTTGCACAATGCTCTCAGTACCAGCATTCTCAATTAGCCCATTCATACTTAAAGATATTATTTTCCTATTTCCCCAGTTAAATGCAATAGTAGCATCTCCCTTTGAGAGGTTATACATACGGTGTTTGCTCATTTCTCTAGCACCGACGGCTTGGTCCTAAGTCTGAATCAAGTATTTGGTAAATATTTGTTAAGTGCTCCCAGGAATGAGGAAGCTGGAGTCCTGCTAACTGACCTGGTAGTATGACATTTAATCCTGTTGTCCTATCAAAGAATTGAACTCTTTGTATTACTCTGCATTCCTGCCTTCATGTCTTCTTAGGCGTGAGAAGGTTGTCCTGAAGTCAGTCCATCTGTACCACTCTTTGCTTTTAGTACAAACGCATCCATGTCTCTTCTACCTTCCCAAAGAACAATATCTAGCTAGCTCTTTGTACCCTACCATCCCTCCTCCCCATTTTATGTTCTTCCTCCCCACTTAAGTCTTATTTCTGAGACTCCCCCTCTAAAGTCAGGGAACGAGAGATTGTATTCTAACCCCCATATTGTCTCTCACCAGCTTCATGACTGTAGGCAACTCCCATACCCTCTCGAACCCTGCAGACGCATCAAATAGGGCTATTGCGGAAGCAGTGAAGTATTCTTGCCAAGCTCTTTTCCATTGCTGGGAGTGTAGTAAATGTGCAGTAAGTGATGGGCATTGTTCTTACTGTCTTAAAGTAGAGTTGACTTCAGAGAAAGAAAGGTTCATGTAGGCTTAAGGATTGTTGAGTTCATCTAACTGTTTGGTTTTCAGATTAGAAAGTAGAGTTTAGATGAATTAAGTTGTCAGTTTCATGGAGGAGGTGATATTAAGTTGGATTTTGAAGGATAATAAAATTTGTCTTAGCTCGATCTGGTGGCATGTCCCTGTAATCCTAGCGCTTGGAGGCAGAGACAGAAGGATGGGGAGTTCACACCAACCTAAATATGTAGGGAAAACATCTCCAAAAAAAAAAAAAAAAGGACAGAGTATGTATGAAGCTGAGTGTAGAACTCTTGCCCAGGATGTGTGAGGTCATCAGTTCTATTCTCGGTGCCATCGAAGCAATGACTTGTATCTATGGACTGTTCTCTGTGGGTCAGGGACCATTCTAAATGCATTTCTCATATTGTTTCATTTAATATTCAAGACACTCTTGTAAGATAGAATTTCTAAAGATAGTCTAGAGCTGGACAAGAAGCTAGAAAAGCATGAATAAAAACCTAGAGGTAGGAGAGCTGTGCTGATTGCTGGAGTTGGTAAGACTGACCAGTGAAGAGCTTGATGTGGGTAATGAGAAGTGATGTTAGCAGCATCATAAGGGGGCTTGACTCCCAACTTAAGCTTTCCCTGTGGGCAAAATACAGAGCAATTATAGACATATGACTTGGGTAAAGAGAGCGTGGAATAGAAGTTGGGTTTCAGGCAAGTTGACCTGTGGTGTGTACTGTGAAGCCCTGCTAAAGGCACAGCTTGAACTGTGCTCCTAATATCAGGGCGATGATATTATAAGTAACTATTATTTCCACTGATTAAATCTTGCATCTCACAGCAAAGAACAACAGACAGACTCTCAACACTTGCATCCCAGCACTGCGGAGGCTTGTGAGTTCCAGGCTAGCCTAGACTGCACATCAAGACCCCATCTCAGAACCAACAGCAAGAGCACCTGTAATCCCACTCCAAAGAGACTTACATCTCTTTACTTTCTACTTCGACCCTGTCCATTCAAATTCCACCACTTCTCCTTGCTAGTTAACAGGATTGTTGCAGGAGCCCCCTCTATCCCCTGGCTGAGTAACTTCCATTTTCCTGAGTACCTGGCAGTCGCTCCTCCTCTGTCTAGTTCATATGGCTCAGCTCCTCCACTAATGCCTTTCTTTCTTCTACTATTTCATTCCCCATCTTTCGGGAACCAAATCCCATGCTGCCATCTATGATGTTTGATCAGCTTGTCTGGTGCCACGCCCACAGAGAGACAGAGACAGGCAGGCAGGCAGGCAGACAGAGAGGGAGAGGGAGAGACAGAGAGAGAGAGAGAGAGAGAGAGAGAGAGAGAGAGAGAGAGAGAGAAAGTTGCTGGCTTGGTTTTGGTTTTTTTGGGGGGTGGGGGGAGACAGGGTCTCCTCTATAGTCCAAGCTGGTTGCAACACTGCTATCCTCCTGCTTCAGCCTCCTGAGTGCTGGAATTCCAGGTGTGTCCCACCACACCTGCCCTGACTTCTTTCTTCTGCATTCCCCTGTGCTACCACGTTTGGTTCACCACTCTCTCGTTCATGTCCCCTACACATTATCACCTCTTTGTTTGGTATCTATTTGTGATGTGAATTATAGTTCTTTTGACCACAAATCTCTTCCTAAAGATGTTTCCATTTGAGGAAAATTAAGTGTATTCAGCATGTAGCACTGGTATATATTTTTGCAGCATTGAGAATTTCATGTAGCTTTTGCTGGGGAGCTTTAAGTAAAAAAGAAAAATGGATGAGAGAGTTAAAGGTAGTGCAGGGCGCCAGGCGGTGGTGGTGCATGCCCTTAATCCCAGCACTCAGGAGGCAGAGGCAGGCGGATCTCTGTGAGTTCGAGGCCAGCCTGGGCTACAGAGTGAGTTCCAGGAAAGGCACAAAGCTACACAGAGGAACCCTGTCTCGAAAAACAAAAACAAAACAAACAAAAACAAACAAACAAAAAAGGTAGTGCAGGGCTTGTGGTTTTTCCTCCTAAGGAATCTTTGAGTAGGAGAACTGAGAATTAGATCCGAGCCTTCATTACTCTGTCCTGCTTCTCGGGACGAGGAGGTATGAGGTGAATGTGAATGCAGCAGAGGAGTGGAACTCCTTTGGGCCCCGGGAAACATGGAAGGACCTAAGAGTTGGATTCTAGGGTACGAGGAGATGGATGGGAACTGATTGGAAACAGGTGCTCCTTAGCAGGCATGTTGTATGTAAAGGGCACACTGATTTGCATGTAGATCCAAGTTTGTTGTGAAGGATGATTTGAAAATTTCTAGAGAACAAAAAAAATTATTTCTGCCATGTCCATTACTGCTGATGTAGGATGTAGAAAGCATATATCCACAAGCTGCTTGTCAGTCTGTTTTATATTGCTGGGATTGGAACCCAGGACCTTGTGCATGCTACCAAATCCCTTCATGGGAGCCCTTAGGTTGTCATCTCAATGAAGATCAAAATAATTTATTTCCTTGGCTCACTCAGTAGACACTATTTTGTCTTCTGAAATCTTCGGTTCCCCAACTATAAATTCTCCTACAAGGATTTTTAGTAGCCTAATATTACAGGCCAGAGGACTGCCACTGTAACGTTTAGCCCATGTTTCCCTGACTGTTGAACCTGGCTAAATTTGGGTTATGTTCCATGGTGGATCTGGCAGTTCTTTAGGTTCCAGGAATATGATATGGTCTCCATGGCTCTGAGATGTGTCTGTCCCTCATTCTCCCTCCCTTTCTTCTCCCCTTCCATAACCCATGCTTAGCTACATGATCTCACTCGGATATCATCTCCCAAACCTTTTGTGAATCCTTAAATAGAGCCTCTCCCTAGGCTGCAGACCACTTCTGCCAGTTCCAATTATAAGCATTGGTTTTCATCCTCGGGAGAGGCAGTTAGACCCTAGATGCTGGAGGAAAGGCAGGTGAAAAGTCCTGCTGCCTCGCAGAAACGAGCGGTCAGTATTGGAGTGGTAGGATAATCTTGGAGAACAGCAGTCTGTATTCTGCTTGTCCGCTTGCCCCTGGTCTAGTGTAGCAAAGTATGCCCTTTTAGGACAAAGGTCCTATTAATGTTACATAGAAACAAACCTCAGAGATAGTTTGCCTGTGCACGCTAAACTAATTAACAGTTCGTATCAAACCCTGTATTTAAAAGTAGTGATTATTTTTACTATGTAGCCCTCAGGGAAGAAAGCAGACTCATAACACTTTTTTAAAATCGTGATGAACATTTGAAATTTTGCCGCCAGACTTTTAAAATCCACCCTAACAGCCTTCCCAGTTTATAAAATATCTTACTGAAAAGAGATATCTGAGAACTTATTTTCACGTATAATACAAACCAAATATTAACAGTCTTATAAACATCTATTTTTTTAGTGAATTAACTTTTAATCTCTTATTTCTGGTGTGGCCGCCGAACCACCACAGGTCTTTGATTCGATTTTATAAAAGTTTCCCGGAGAACAGATGGCTAGAGTGTGAACCTCCGTCTACGTTGAAGTCACGTTTCTTCTAAGACAGCAGAAATGCTCGAGCTAGCTAGCAATACAGGACTGGCTCTGGGATTTGGAAACAGTGTTGCACCAAAGATTGTTACAATTTGCGGTAATTAGTCAGCTTGCTTCCGTTAAACTAAAAGGGGTGAATAAAACGTAGGATTGGGGAAAAAAAGCTACTTTGGAGCTGAATATATAAGTGGTATTTATAGAGAGCCTTGGATGGGAGATTGGCCACTGATTTGATGCAGAACCTGGTAAGAATTATAACTCAAAGTTTTGTCTGCCCTACGAGTCAGCCTGTGATTTCACGTGCATTTTTATTTCTAAGTCCCCGGACCTCCCGCACTGCGCTGCGCTCGCCCTGCGCGGCCAGCCCCGCGGTGACAGGTGCCCGCGCCGGGGACGCAGGCCCGAGCATCCCGGCCGCTCCCGGCGGCGGCGGCGGCGGCCTTTGCAGGGCCCGCGCGGGGCGCCGAGAGCTCGTCGCACCTTCGCCCGTCCGAGGACCGCGCAGGGCGGGCGCGAGGCGGCCGGGCGGAGCCGGGGAGGCGAGGCGAGGCGAGGCGAGGCCGGCGGGCCGGCGGGCCGGGGGTTGGCGGGACGCGCGCTCCGTGCCGCGCCGCGCCGGCGCCCGCTCGAGCCCGCGCTCCCCCCGCGCGTGCCCGCGCCGCTGCGCGATGCAGTGTGGGGAATGGCTGGGGTTGGCTGAAGAGCGCACAGTGGAGTTTTAATGTCCGCCATGTTGGCCATGGCGTATTGAAGAGAGCGAGTGAGCGAGGCGCGGAGCGGCACAGCCTCCCACCCTCCCGGCTGGTGTCAGGGCCCGGACGGCGGGCTTTGCGCTCCGCCCCCAAGTCCCCGGCAGCGGCAGGCGAGTGGAGACCGAAACCCCGGTTCTCCATGATCCCGCTGGCCGGGGCCGTTTCCCCAGAGCGGAGAGGTATCTGCTGCGCCTGAGATGAGTAAACTGTCGTTTCGGGCGCGGGCGCTGGACGCCTCGAAGCCGCTGCCGGTCTTCCGCTGTGAGGATCTGCCCGACCTGCACGAATACGCCTCGATAAACCGGGCCGTGCCGCAGATGCCCACCGGAATGGAGAAGGAAGAGGAGTCGGTACGTGTTAACTCCCCTGTCCGACCCGCCGCCAGGCCCGCGCCCTCCGCTGCCCGCGGCGGCGGCGGCGGCGGCGGAGCAGCAGACCCACACAAAATGGCCGCCATCTTCTCTCCGCCGCCGACTTTCGGTCGCCGGCCGGGCCGGTCCCCCGCCTCCCCGGTGCTCGGTCCCGGGCCGCTGCGGCCTGGCGGGGCCCACTCGAAGGCCTTCCGCCGCCCCCGGCCACTGGTACCCGGGTCCCGCGGAGTTCGGGGGCCCGAAAGGCACAAAGGGGTCACGTGACGAAGCCGCCGGCAGCCATTTTGTGGTCTCAGTTCTTGGGTTGGGCCTTGTGCATCCGGAGAGGGAAGCGGGCTGGGCGGCGGTGGGGGTGCGAGCGAGCCGGGAGTGGGCCGCGCCTGCAGGCCCCTCGCAGGGCCGCTGGGTGGCGCTCCCGGGCCGCCGCGGCCTGGCAGCGGCGGCCGGCGGCGCAGGCTCCGGGCGCACTTCCCCGCGGGCTCGGTGCAGTCCCCACGTGGAGCCTCCGAGGGGCCTGTCATGTTGACTTCAGGGCTCAGGCTGATTTCTCTCCCCTTCCTGCAAGGAAATGCCGAGGGTGCACCTAGCCTGCCCAGACGCCTTTACTTTTACAGAAACTAAAACTCCGGGTATACTCTTGCTTCTACCCGCAGTGCCGGTTATCCTGGCGGATAAGGAAGGGAAAAAAAAAACAAGTCTCCCCTACTTTTTGATCTTTGAGACAATGTTGCAGATTTGTTTACAATGCGTAGCTCTCTTCTAAAGCCTGCAACTTTTTAGTTACTTCTAAGTGAAATTTAGATTCGCCTGCTTTCAAAGTAAAGATAGAGAAGACCCGGTTCAGTAACTGTTAAAACGCTAAAACTTGAAAGAAGGTGCTTTTTTATTATGAATAGCCGAGCTAAAGTTGAGTGAATTCTTCACCGACATCCTAATATTAATTTGTCCTAACTGGGTGGGCTGCAGTAATTACATGGTTTATACAACTAGTAGATGATTTACTATAGCCCTGGCCTATACCTTGCTGTGGAAGTTGGGTCCCGACACAGAGATAAGAGAATCTTCCTCTCATTTCCCCCAGATCGCTAACATTATAACTTGATGACTTCTAAGGAATTGCATACGTTGGTTTCCAGGCACAGCCACTTAAAACAGGGTGCAGTGTTGACAGTTCAAGGAAGTCAAGGATTCCCATGGACTTGTGTGCTCCAATTTTGTTGTGGAAAACTGTACTGTAATACTTCTGTTGGTACTGTAAGAATTTTCGATTCTCTGTAATGTTTTTCAAAATAAAACTCTTTAAACTGCTTGGGTTGTTTAACCTTTTAAAGTAAAATAGTTTTGACAGTCGAATGTTCCTTTGGGGCGGAGGGTCTTGAATTTAACCTCACAGCGGAGCGCTAAGTGTATGTAGTAGATGAGATGTGTGGGGCAGTGTACTGACTTCTCAGCAGCGTATTGGCTGTGAGAGCAGTGCGCCTTATTGACTTGTATCAACTTAGAGTAGAATGGTGCCATTTGTTTATTTTTAAAATAAGCGGTTTGGTTTTTTTTTTATTTCAAAAAATTAAAGTACTTGTGACTGCAGAATCTTGTCTTTTTGTTTTATTTTTGTTTCTCTACATAAGTTTTACAGATACTACTTTCAAGTTGGGGTGCTGGTGTTACCCTGCTTGAGGAATTGATTTGTAGCTCTTGTGCATCTAAGGTGGGGAATCATTAATTAAGCAAGAGCAAGACCCACAACAGTACACTTTAGAAACTGAGTTAGGTCTTGCTTATCTGAGTCTTTTGGACAGTCCCAAGAGCTACAACCTAAAACGAGAGCTGAGTTTAACTGAAGGGGCTGTCCGTGCATATTAACACTTACAGATAATTTTGGTCACAAACAGTTTTGGTATTGTGCAGTTACTGTCACTGGGTTTTAGCAGCTGAAAGCCCAACTTTTGTGAGATGTGGGGATTTTTCCCCCTTTAGAGTACCTTTTTCCATCATCTGTTTAGAATTTGTCAAGTCACAGCCAACCATAAACTATGTATGAGTGAAGGCTAGATCTCTTGATAGAAGAACTTCAGATCCTTTGTAAACAAACTACTTCACAATATTGTGTGTCCAGCTGCTAGTGATAGGCTCTGTAAGTCACAGTATTGAAAGTAGTATGGTGTGCAGTATTGAAAAGTGCCAAACATGATGTAATTTGGAGTTCTACTTTTACACTTGGCAAAAAGAAGAGTTAAGTTCAGCCATGGGCATGTGACCTATCCTCCTGACAGGTCCTGTAACCCGGGGCCTGAACTGATGTTTTAGGAAAGGGAATACCATCTCAATTTAGTCTCAGTCTTGAGACTCTTAGAACTGGAATCTATTTATCATAATCCAACTTCATGTGTTAATAGGATTCTAATTAGACACAACAGAATTAGATGAGGCTAGGTTCTTACCCACTGCTTTATAAGAAAGCATTTCATGATAAACATACATCTGCAGAATTGTAGTATGGCATGTATCTACTTAAGGATATAATTGTTGCCTTTATAATATTTTTTGTGGTTAAGGAAATCCGGGTCTTGATCTGCCTATGTAGCCCAGGCTTGCCTCAAACACACTATCCTCCTTTCTCAGCCTCCTGGGTGCTGGAATTAGGTTGGTAGCCATTGTATCAGCTTAGATATCTAATGGCACTGGGAGGAAAACTTCTTAGTGTACTTCTGTTCTGCCAGTTTCATTAATAAAAACTGAATAAAGCTTAAGCCTGGTAGAGCAAATCTGTAATCAGAAGGCTGAGGCCAGCCCAGGGAATTCATCAAGACCCTGTCCCCAAATGGATACAAAAGCAAAGGACTAGGCCCTGCTTTAGTGATAGAATGTTACCTTGTGTAAGGTGCAGGTCCTTAAAGATGAATGTATTGGCCTAATTGAGTATGCTTAATTTTTTAAGAAATGAGTTTAAGTAAACGATGACACCCCCACTTGGGGTTAGGGGATAAAACATTGTCACTCCATTTAAAAACTTTTTTAATGTAGAACTGAAAAATAACTGGGTTGTAGTGCTTGAAATATTTGACTAAATTGTACATGTTGGGGAATTAAGTGTTTCAATTGATACAGTGTAATAAGTAGCACCTGGCTAAGTCAAAAAGTAACAGTTAATGGACATTTTGTATTTAGTCACCTGTAAATTTTAAAGTCCAGGGAAACAATAGTAACTTCATGAGAAAAGTGAGCACTGGTGGGGGTGGGGACTAAAAGAAGACAAATGTTATAAAACAAATGAGAGGTGGATAACCTGTTATCATTTAGCATCTCTTAAATATGTAATAATTTCATTATAAGGTCTGAACAGCGCCACGGTTTTACTTATAACTGGAGGGTACCTTTCCAAAGACATTTAGCACTATTGAATGGGTTTATTACAGCTGACTTAAGTGACTAAAATTGGGACTTCACAGTTTTCTTGTATGGAAACATTTGCAGATCTTAACTAGTTGTATTTAAAATAGTATTTGGCAACTTTAAGGTACTTTAACTTTTTCTGGGGGACATAGAGGAACAGGCCATCATTTATGAGGATTGGAGACTTAGCCTGTTTCCTGGCTAGACTAGGTTGGCTGGGATAGTTGAAAAAAATTGGAATGCAAATGATACCACGTTGATATTAGCCACGTGGTCTCTTGAGACTGGTAGAAATCTAGTTATCATAATCCAACTCCATAGATTTATAGGATTCTAAGTAGACACAACAGTCTGGTAGTCCTGCCTTGTCTCACCTTCATTCCAGCCTGGTATATAGTGTTACCACACCCAAGTAAAGGATTTATAGACAGTTTTGTTTTTTTTCTTCAAAAAAATTTTTAAGGTAAGGAAAAATTGGAAATATGCACATATTCCTAATATAAAAAACTCTGCATTTAATTTTTCTACAAGATCTAGTTTTTCAGTTTCATGAAAATAAGTTTGACAGTTTGAGTGCTAGGTTTGAAACTCTGGGTTCCTTTTGAAAGACGACCTTTTTTTGTCCTTAATATGCTAAGCCAAGTTTATCTCTTGTATCTAAAGCTGTCAAATTCAGTTCATTTTTCCATCCTGTCGATGGTCTTACAAATGAAGTGAAATATCCATTGTAGCAGAGGCAGAAATAAGAAACTGTGGATTGTGTGGATTAGGAAGGAATTGGGAAGATTTGGGCATTTTGCTTTAGCTAGCAAAAGGTCTGGACACAAAGATAATTTGAGAAAATAAAGTTCAGTTTCCACTTTCAATCTGTCCAAGGTACTTTTCAAGATGATCTTTGGTTATCTGAGACAGCCTGTCAGGTAGCTGAGGCTTGCCATGAAACTCCTGATCTGCCTCCTGAGTGCTGGGATTATAGGAGTGTGGAGTCACATCTGCACTGAATAAAGGTTTCTAAGCTGGGGTTTGGAGATTACACAGCTTCTGGAAGTTAGTGAATTCCCTTGATAAGCACATAACATTTTGTGTGGTCTTTTGAAGGAGAAGGCTCATACTTTCTTCAAGGTTAATATCTGCTGTTCTTGAAATTTCAAATGGAGACTCTTTATTTTATCTCAGTATGGCAGTTATTTTTAAAATAAATCTATAAAGGGATAATAATTGAAAAACATGAGTAAGCAACCCAGAAAGAGACTGAAGAAGAAACTACCAAAGGGACCCATGGAAAACTGCCATGCCTGGTTACCTCAAGTGTTGTTAACTTTGTTTTCTAGAGCTTTTACTATATTTATTTGGAAACCAAGTTCTGTAAAGGAGTACTTCTGTAAAAGTGTACACTCAGTAGTCGTATGTCATGTTTTCCAGAGACAGGCTGTTCAGACTAGCACAGAGACATCATGCTGGTAGCAGGGAGTGGGTCATGGCATGAGTTTAACTTCCATTTTATTTTGCAGTTTGATGTTTGGGGTTAGTTTATAGCTCAACTTCATTTTCTTTTTTGGTTTTTCGAGACAGGGTTTCTCTGTGTA